AAAACTTCTGTCAAATCGTCTTAGGTTTCTGACCTCAACACTTCCACCAACCGAGTCAATATTCATCATGGACTTTGCAGAGAACTACAACTTCATCGTTCAGGGTTTAAGCGAAGTCTCTGTTAGGATTACAACGTCGGTATCGTTATCGTACAGGTATGATGACAGTAAATCATGTTTCGGGTGTCAGTGAACAAAAATGAAACATTGCACTTCTTATCCAAGATTCTTGATAAGACCCGATTAGGACAGAAGGGCTTAGATTTTTGTTTTGTTCACTGTTATGCTGTCAGTTGTTCTACACTGCCTGATAGGGGATTGGAAACAAATATTCTGTTATTTATTTCTGGCTTATTAAACGTCAGCTTATCAGACATATTTTTTACTTCGCCAAATGGAGAAATTTTCTTTCAGCAATGCGAACGTCCAAAGAAACGTCTTCCACTACGGCGAAAGGTGTCCCCTTAAAGGGGCGATGCAACAATTTTCGTACTTTGCGCAAATACCGCTTAGAACAGATCCCTGACGTTAATGACCTATGAAACACGCCTTTGTTTTTCACTTCACGCAATAGAAGTCCCAGAAAAAAATTAAAGAAAAAAAGTGAAAGTCGTTTACCACTCCCTGTAACGCCGAATTGGAGCGCAGCTCTTGAGGAGGAGGAGGGGAGGGTACTGAGGGCCACGTGTTCTCGGGGGGGGGGTCACGTGACCCCCCCCCGAGGGCACGTGACCTTGGTGGGGTCACGTGGGGGCAAACACTTGCCCCCTCAGAGGTCACGTGACCTCGGGAGGGGGTCACGTGACTCCCCAGGTCACGTGACCCCCCGGGTCACGTGACCAAAATTTTTCCGCTAGATTTAGCGGGGAAATTTTTTCCGCTAGATTTAGCGGGGAAAGTTTTCCGCTAGATTTAGCGGGGAAATTTTTTCCGCTAGATTTAGCGGGAAAATTTTTTCCGCTAGATTTAGCGGGGAAATTTTTCCGCTAGACAGCGGGAAAATTTTTTCCGCTAGATTTAGCAGGGAAAATTTTTCCGCTAGATTTAGCGGGGAAAGTTTTCCGCTAGATTTAGCGGGAAAATTGTTTCCGCTAGATTTGACGGGGAAATTTTTCCGCTAGATTTAGCGGGGGAATTTTTTCCGCTAGATTTAGCGGGGAAATTTTTTCCGCTAGATTTAGCGGGGAAATTTTTCCGCTAGATTTAGCGGGGAAATTTTTTCCGCTAGATTTAGCGGGGAAATTTACCCATAATGCACCGCGCGGTTACGCCGACGGCGACGGCGACGGCGACGGCGACGGCGACGCCGCTCAAGCCGGGAACGGGCCCCTAAGAGCTGCGCTCTAAAAGTGAAAGCCGTTTACAACTCCCTGTAACGCCGAATTGGAGCGCAGCTCTTGAGGAGGAGGAGTGAAGGGTACTGAGGGGAGGGTAGACCCCTCGTCCTTCTCCTCCTCCTCCCCTCATTCTTTAATATGCTCCGGGGGGGGGGTCACGTGACCTCGAGGGGGGTGTCACGTGACTTCGGGGAGGGGGGTCACGTGACCTCGGGGAGGCGTGACCTGGGGGTCACGTGACCTTGGGTGTCACATGGGGGTCCCCTCAAGGTCACGTGACCCCCACGTGACCTCAGAGGGGTCACGTGACCTGGGGGTCACGTGACCTGGGGGTCACGTGGGTGTCACCTTGGAGTCCCGTGACCTTGAGATGACCTTGGGAGGGGTCACGTGACCTTGGGGGTCACGTGACCTCAGAGGGGTCACGTGACTTGGGGGTCACGTGACCTTCAAAGGGTCGCGTGACCTTGAGATGACCTTGGGAGGGGTCACGCGACCTGGAGGGGTCACGTGACCTTGGGGGTCACGTGACCTTGGGATGACCTTGGTTACGCCGACGCCGACGGCGACGGCGACGGCGACGCCGACGCCGCTCAAGCCGGGAACGGGCCCCTAAGAGCTGCGCTCTAAAATGAAAGCCCTTTACAATTCCCTGTAACGCCGGTTGGCGCGCAGCTCTTGAGGAGGAGGATGGAAGCGTACTGAGGGACAGGTGACTCCTTAAGGTCACGTGACCTCATGGGAGGTCGGGTGACGTCAAGGGAGTCACGCGACCTCGGAGAAGGGGGGTCACGTGACCTTAGGAGAATCACGTGACTTTAGGCGGCCACGTGACCTCAGGGGATTCACGTGACTCCAGGGGGGTCACGTGACCTTGACGATGACGATTTTATGACGTCATCAGTGAGATGACGATGACGATGCGGATGCCAATAACGTCATCAGTGATGATGACGATGACGATGCGAATGCCATTGACGCCATCAGTGATGACAATGATACGGATGACGATGACGTCATCAGGTTGCATGCAACCTGGATTGCATGCAACAGGTTGCATACAACTCGTTGTATGCCATTTGCATGCAACAGGTTGCATGCAACCTGTTGCATGCAACTCCCGAAGGAACCCGAGGTCCTCCCGAATGAACCCGAGGTCCTCCGAGGTCCTACCGAAGAAACCCGAGGTCCTCCCGAAGGGACCCAATGTCCTCCCGAAGGACCTCGGGTTCCTTCGGGACGACCTCGGGGAGTCCTCGGGTATCTTCGGAAAAATTTACCCATAATGCACCGCGCGGTTACGCCGACGGCGACGGCGACGCCGACGCCGACGCCGCTCAAGCCGGAAACGGGCGCCTAAGAGCTGCGCTCTAAAAAATGAAAGCCGTTTGCAACTCCCTGTAACGACGAATTAGAGCGCAGCTCTTGAGGAGGAGGAGGGAAGGGTACTGAGGTTCACGTGTTATCGGGGGGGGGGGGGAGGGGTGCTCACGTGACCTTGGAGGGGTCACATGACCCCCTCGCCAAGGTCACGTGACCTGGGGGTGTCACGTGACCTCGGGGGGTCACCTGACAAGACAAAATTTTCCGCTAGATTTAGCGGGGAAATTTTTCCGCTAGAATTAGCGGGGAAATCTTGCCGCTAGGTTTAGCGGGGAAATTTTTTCGCTAGATTTAGCGGGGAAATTTTTTCGCTAGATATAGCGGGGAAATGTTTCCGCTAGATTTAGCGGGGAAATTTTTCAGCTAGATTTAGCGGAGAAATTATTCCGCTAGATGTAGCGGGGAAATGTTTCCGCTAGATTTAGCGGGGAAATTGTTCCGCGAGATGTAGCGGGGAAATTTTTCCGCCAGATTTAGCGGCGACGTTTTTCCGCTAGATTTAGCGGGAAAACTTTTCCGTTAGATTTAGCGGGGAAATCTTTCCGTTAGATTTAGCGGGGAAATCTTTCCGCTAGGTTTAGTGGGGAAATTTTTCCGGTAGATTTAGCGGGAAAATTTTCCCGCTAGGTTTAGCGGGGAAATTTTTTCGGTAGATTTAGCGGGGAAATTTTTCCGCTAGATTTAGCGGGGACGTTTTTCCGCTAGATTTAGCTGGAAAATTTTTCCGCTAGAGTTAGCAGGGAAATTTTTCCGCTAGATGTAGCGGGGAAATTTTTCCGCTAGATTTAGCGGGGAAATTTTTCCGCTAGATTTAGCGGGGAAATTTACCCATAATGCACCGCGCGGTTACGCCGACGGCGACGGCGACGGCGACGCCGCTCAAGACGGAAACGGGCGCCTAAGAGCTGCGCTCTAGAACGGGCAGGATTGACACCCTCAACTCGCAGCCAGAACAAGCGGCCACGCGATCTGGAGCCGATTATATGCCGCCAATGTTGATCATAGCCACGCGCTGGGGTTGGCAAAGCACAGGACACGCGCTGAGTTCCAGACATTGTTATGGCTGGGCTATTGTCGTCGTTGCAGCGATTGGACGCGGGCCACGACCCGAATGCTTTTCGAGCTAGTAATTATCACGAGCCCAAATTGAGTGCCCACGCAGGGCTCGGGTATACAACTCGCAGCCAGAACAAGCGGCCACGTGATCTGGAGCCGACTATATGCCACCAATGTAGATCATAGCGACGCGCTGGGGTTGGCAAAGTACAGGGCAAGCGCCAAGTTTCAGATATTGTTATGGCTCGGCTATTGTCGCCGTTGCAGCGATTGGACACCGGTCATTACCCGAATGCTTCTCGAGCTAGCAATTATCACGAGCCTAAGTCGAGTGCCCACGCAATGCTCGGGTCCAATCTATGAACCGCATTGAAATATCGTCACTTGGGTGTTCTGCAATCCCCAAGTTACGTCATAAAATTTTGAAAAAGAGAGATTGAATGAAAATGATCGCTTTTGTCCTTGAAATTACACCGCAACAAAGGAGTTTCTTGGCCAGTGGAGTTGTGTGCGAGTATCCTTGAGCCCCACTAGTGCCAGTAAGCTCGTGTAAAGTGAAAAACATTGCAACTGAATATCGTTGCACAGCTCCTTTAAAGGGATACTACAACAAAATTTCGGCGCTCATCTTATGGTCTATATGTATTCAAAGGAGCAGCATCATATCGAACATACCAATATCTTGTTAAGAAAAGTCACGAAAAGGAATTTTAAAACGAATTAAACGTTTAGCACAGAGCACCTGGTGGATATCGCTAACGCCTCGCTTGTAGTGCCCCTCTAGGAACCTTGACAGCTAGTGACGGAGGTTGTCTCGCCTTCTGCCAGGACGAGAGAAGAGGGGAAGGAGGAACTCTTCTCTTCCCGAGAATGTCTTTTGTGTGTCGCAGAAGTCGCTATTGTCCCCCTACTAGATTACAGAAGATTAACGCGTCACTCAAAATTCGTACAATAGCAGCCGCTTCGGTTGCTGGAACGACTAGGCCATCCTCTCGATGTCAGCCTCGCCGTAGCTAGTGTCACTAAATAAAGCTACGCTTTTAGAGTATCGGCACTCTTTTCTCCCATTGTTTTATGCCGCCACGGTAGTCATTCGTCAGTTTGAGTCACGTGACATCTGTTGACGCGACGTTGGCTCGTGGGCGCTGCCATCTTGTGGCGTAGTTCCCTCGGTAGGCGAGTAGGGGCTTTGCGGGCGCTGTTCACGACGGAGGCGACGGACAAGTTATGAGATGCCACGCTTCGCCGACTTCCAGCGCCTGACAAGCGCTTAAAAGACCCTTGCGCGATGCCGTTTTGCTCCGTTGGAGGTTGCTTCACCAAGCGGGAGGATGGGAAGCGCTTGCTGCGCTTTCCGTTGGGCAGCAAAGACCAACACCGGCTTCGCGCGTGGTTGGAGCTCGTCGACCGCGAAAATTTTGAGCCCACGGCACACTCCAGGGTCTGTGAGGTAAGTTCCTTTCAAGCACAACTGTAATGTTGGGTGAGCCGTCTTTCTGAGTTCGTTTGCCGTTTCGAAAGATTCAACTCGTCCGTTTCGAGCGGCTGGCTAAGGTGCCGTTGAGAGCTGGCTCGTCTTGCCACTTTTGTTGATAAATGCTTTTATCAGTACCGCCGTGCTTCTTGTCTTTTGTATATCTTTTTGTTTTAAGGGGGGGGGATGGAGGGAGAGGGAAAGGGAGGCTGGGGTCAGGTCGGGGGTCACTTGTCAAACCACCACAAGCTCTTGTTAACTACCCGGGCTTCGAAGTGAGTAATGCTGTTATGGAAGCGCTCTCGCACGTTTCGTGCACGCACCAGCTCGTAGTAGAAGTTATCGAACGAGCAATGTGCAATACTTGAGCAATATAACAGTATCGTTGTGACCACACTTTCGCATGTTCGGCGATTTGTAAATAGTCTGGTGCAGAAACATGCTATAAGCTTGACACTAGAGCTCTTTAACTTGCTAACCATGCTTTTATACCTAAAAGTTCGAGGGTTTGCAGTATTCAGTTGTACTGTATACCTCCCAGTAAATGATCCTGGGACAATTTTTGTTGTGTTTTGGTAACCTTTTCTTTATCTGCTATTTTTCATAGGACCATTTCGAACAGAGCCAATTTGAGGCAAACAGGGCGGACGGTCGAAGACTGCTCAAGTCGAATGCTGTTCCTAGCATACCAGCGCCGAGAAATGCACAAAAAGTGCCAAGGAGCAAAGTCCTGAAGAAGCGAAGCAATGGTCAGCTGCAAGGTACGTAGCTCACTTATTATTGGTGAATTCCACTCGATTCGGAGTGCTTTCCAAATTCACGAGGGAGGCAAAATTCCGCTCCGTGGGACCCGCTCCGAATCGACGAGCAGAAGATAAAGTCGCATTTTTGGAGCTACCTCCCCCACTCCCCTCCCCCCTGCTTCCCCCCCTGCTTCCCCCTCGGCCGTTCAAAATGGCCTCTGCTCAAAGTTGCCAAGCCCACCAACGCCTCAGCCGACTGATCTTTCCGACGACCAGGGGCAACTGTCACTGTTCAGCTGCGCGACACAGGCCGGGCGAAAATGTCCGTACCGTGGAGCCTGTGTCACAAATAACGAGTAAGACGCCCGCGTTCACCACTGTCACACACCTTTCAGCCGCCTCGAAGTGGCGGGGCACGCACAGCGATCGCCATCGGTGGAGTTCAGATTGCTGCTAAGACTTTAATAAACACAAAGAGGTAACAGACCATCACATGCACGGTCGTTGCCTAATCTGTTCTTGCTTTATTGCATGAGAAAACGTGGGCGGCATGCAGTGTAAAACGGTAAACAATCATCGGCTGCAGAATGAATGGGCCTAACCTTGCGTCTGCCTCCGGATTTTCTGTCGTTCGTTTTCTAGTTCTTGCTCTCACGATCACAGATGTCGGCGCTTACAATTTACCACACTCCAGTCCCGGCTTTGTATTCCTGATCTACGCGAGGCAGGAGCGTTTGAGCCGTCACAATCCCGCGTAAACAACCGACGCATCCGAACAGATGCAACTCGACAGCCCGATCAGCACGACTGGTCGGCCTCGGCGACCTTGCCGCACATGCGCACCGTCGAGCTATGAAGGAAATGTCGTATGCACTCTGTCAAGTTCCGGATAGATCTGTGAAATCCTGCGGAGCAATTTCGGCGGGTTTGGAGGTGCTCCATGGATCGGGTGCTGCTAGAGATCTACGAGCGGAGGATGACCAACTCGAGCCAGATCTGCAAGCGGAATATGCGCGATCCAAATGGAGCGCTTTTGGAGCGCTCGAGATCTGCGAGCGGAATTCACCATATGATGCTAAAGAATGCACATTATGTTTTTTTGCCGATGCATAATTTCTGCATTTCTAGCAACTTCAAGCACTGCAGCAACAACAGAAGTGCAGAAGAAAACTGAACCTGTGGTCATGCCAGTGCAGTGCTATGCAGAGCAACTGCTAGCAGCTGAAACCCAAGTCCAAGCTGCACCCAAAGAAGCTAGTAAGTACTGAATAGGAAAAAAAAGCCACCTACAATGCCATATAAATGGAGAAAAAAGTTCATGCTGATCTACAGTTAAAAATCAGGCTCTCAATCCCTAGAGAGCTTCTATAGAGTGCACACACCCGCAGCCTGCGAGCGATGCATGCTGGACAAGTGCAGTCGTTGTGTTCATCTTGGGAGACAGCCATGTCCACACATGGCTCTCGTCTCAACAAAAGAATTGCCGGGTCGGCAAATCTCTTGTTGAGACGAGAGTCATGTGCTTTATTTAGTGACTCAAGCTCAGACAGTTCCGAGCTTTCCAGCTCGAGCATGGGGTTGAGTCTGATAGTCAGTTACCACATTGAAGGGATACTTCAACGAAATTTGAAATATTCCCGTCGTGTTCAAAAATAGGTTGAATATGATCCACAATATCCGTAAATGACAATCGCACGTTTGTATTTTGATCCTGGTGGCTGTATTTTTCGTTATAAACGGCCCACTCTGGCAAGCGCTCGGAGAAGGCCCAGCTTAGAGCACGTGACATCCAACGCAATCGTGACGTAGGTCGTCTCAAGGCGAGCAAAGCTACGGCGAGGCTGACGTCGAGAGGATGGCCTAGTCGTTCCAGCCACCGAAGCGGCTGCTTTTGTACGAATTTTGAGTGACGGGTTAATCTTCTATAATCTTCTAGGGGAACAATAGCGACTTCTGCGACACACAAAAGGGATTCTCGGCGAGAGGGGAGTTCCTCCTTCCCCCCTTCTCTCGTCGTGGCCGGAGACGAGACAACCTCCGTCACTAGCTGTCAAGGTTCCTAGACGAGCATTACAAACGAGGCGTTAGCGACATCCACCAGGTGCTCTTTGCTAATCATTTAATTCGTTTTAAAATTCCTTTTCGAGACTTTTTTAACAAGATATTGATATGTTCCATGTGATACTGCTCTTTTGAACACATATAGACCAAAAAATGAGCGCCGAAATTTCGTTGTAGTATCCCTTTAAGACACAATCCAAAAGGAAAGAGAACAACATTGGGGACTTTTGGTTTTTAAAATTGTTGAGGGTATCAACGCTTTAGGGCGAAAAGATGCGGTAACTGCTAGTGAAAGACTCTAATGATCCGGACGCATATCTCGAGAAGTATGGAGTGGCTCACGGCACTTCGTCAAGTGTCAGCACAGTTTGCTCTTGTCCGACATCAATTTTGTGTAACGTTGTTGGTCATTTTTTAAGCTCTGTTCAGACTCGGCAATTATGTGCAGATGAGAGGGATCACAAAAACTAGCCCTTGAAGCTCCCCATATTGCCGTGTGCATGGCCGAGTGGCAACGCACCTGACTCACGCAGAGGCCCCAGGTTTAATTTCTGAGGGTCGTGCAACTTTTATTATTGTATTGTAATAATAGTTTCTACAATGTTTGAGAAGCTTCTCGTTTAGAATGTTTGAAGGCCGAACATTCTAGTTCGAATGTTTGCGAAGCCCGTGTGTCTACAAAAGGCGCTCCGCGTGGCTCTACAGGGTCGGTTCTTCGCCAGCGCTTGACTCTGCTTTCACGCCGACATTGACACCTGCGACGCTGTTATTTTGTTTCTATCCTTTTTTTTTTGGGCACAAGTTCGCCCCATTAAACGTTTATTTCCTCCTGTTTATTTATTGTTTTTTTGGTCACCACCCGTGACATACTCTTACTACTCGAACTCATATGTGGCCCTTGGAGTTCCACATATGAGTTAAAGTAGTGCAAAGTATAGCACATTTCATCACTAAGGCACCATTTCTGAATTGCAGCAACCACAGCCACGCAGAGGACAACCTTCCCTGAGGTCATGTCAGAGGAATGCCTTCCAGTGGAGCTGCTCACCGTGGAAGTCGAAATGCCACCTTCGCCCGAGCCTAAAAGTGAGTACCGGTTGGAGAATGTGGATAAAGTGAAAACCATACTGTTTTTCACATTATTACGTATGGGAGCTGAAATAAGAACCTTTCAATAGGTGCCTCCATTGTGGAGCTTGAAGATATTGTGGACACCTGGAACACCACCAGAACTCCTCAGTTTGAAATGTTGTTGCTAAACGTATATAGAAGGATGCACACAATGGGTAATTATTATAATCAGGTACAACCATGGACCTAGGACGTGGGATGCCTTCCGAATGTGCCAAAGCTGAAGAAGACCTGGCATTGCCTATGGATGAAGGTAAGAAACTGTTCAGTTTTTGTTCGACATACAAACTGAACTGAGACATATGGAAAGTTCAGTCCGAGTTCAAATGAATGTAGGAACGGTTGTTGTGCAGCGACAGCGGAAAACTAGTTTAGCCGCAACGTTCGAAATGGCACTGTAATCGACGGTTCAGCGAGTCGTCTGCCTCCATCTGCTTTTTGTGTTTTGCGCCTTGTCGACAACTGTTTCTTAGAATTTTGTACTAAAATCTGTCTCGGGTTTCAGTATTGTATCGAACGATAACCAGCCTGCCTGCCTAGTTAGGTTTGAATGTCTGAATGTTTATTGTTCAGGCGTTTCACATGTTCTATAGGAAGAAATCTGTAGGGCGTACCAAATTTTTTTCAGCAGGTATTGTGCAGTGCGTCTACTTCACAAATGAGCCCCAGCACGAGCCCTTGGACACCAGTCATGCTCTTGAAAAGGTATGAAAGAAAACGATTATTGCGCGTTGCCCGTCGACAGTGCTGCACGCGCAATAACCATGGATCGTCGGGTGACACACAGCCCCGCCCCATCGCGCGCATCAGCGTCCCCTATGTAAGAGGGACGAGCGAGACGCTGGCGCGCGTGCTCCGAAAAGAAGGGATCCAGGTGGCGCACAAGCCAGTGTCAACATTAGGACGGCTCATGCCAAGGCCGAAAGATCACCTCCCAAAAGAGAAAGCACAAGGCGTGGTCTCTAAGATACCGTGTGCGGAGTGCCCCGCCGCCTACATCGGTGAAACTAAATCTTTTTCCGAACGCATGCGCCAGCACCAGAACGATATGCGCAATTTCGATCGCGAGCGTAGCGCCGTCGCGGAACATTGTGAGGTATTTGATCATCGGATTGACTTCGGAAATGCACACGTGATAGACACGGAGCCACATATTCGAAGACGCCTGCTCTTGGAGTCGTGGCATATCCAGAATACACCGGGGAACATTAACAGGTCCCTCGGGGCCTTACCCTCCATTTACGTCCATGGCCTGCGTCACGTTCACAAAACATCACCTCGGTAGAAGAGGAAGGAGAGGTCGAAGCTCGCGCTGTCCCATTCCATTTTTAGTCACCCCTGAAGAAGGAGTCGAGTCGACCCCGAAACGTTGGGAACTCTTTGTTTCTGAACTTTTGGTTTGAGCTTTCTTTTTTTTTTTTTTTTTCGAAAAGTCAAGTATGGTTGTGAACGGTTTCAATGTCTGCAAGAAACTATCCTCGTTACGTCCAGAAAGAGAGCTTGTTTTGTGCATAGTTTACGCGGTAGGCGAAGTAGTTTGTGCAAGATATGGTTGCAACAGGAAAACGCTATGCTACTTTCAATCAAATTATGTACTTTTAAAAAAATCCACCAACTTACCTGAAATGCACATACCACTATTTTAATTTACCCCATAAAGGGGAGCATTAATAACACTCCAAGGAGTCAATATTTTACTATGGTTCTTGGAGTGACAAGAAGTATAGTTTCCTCGTCGATATGCGGCATAAATATATTTTGACTCTTGTATCCTCCAAATGAAGGAAAGAGATATGCAGTATGCCTGGTGCAAACCGTGGTGATTATAGCCTTAAATTTAGCTGTTGAGTGCAGTACTATTAAAGATATTTCTTTGTAACCCCCATTTCTTTTCAGCAAGCACCCTGCAATGGAGATCGGTGTATTCATCAGGCTAGTGTTGCAGAATTGCTGCGCAAGCTAGATCTGGCTCAGAAGAGGATCAGAAAGCTGGAAAAGGAGTTGGAGGCTGTTCTTGGTAAGCATATTGGCATAGTACATTCACATTCGTTTCGTGTGCTAGCACTTTATCCTTCGAATGCAACCAGTTCTATCATTCAGCACATTGGATGTTGCACAGTGTGTGTAAGAAAAATTAAAAGCTTTTGCAATGGTATTGTGGTGTCGTTAGTTTTGGTTTCTATATCTCGTCTGTAAACCTTGTGAATGTATGTGACACTGTTGTTCCCATGTATATAATTGTGTCGTCTGATAAAGTTTGATATTCTTTCGTTGGGTCATGGCTGGTTGACTCTCTTCTTCTTCTCGGCCTGAAGGCCGAAACACCACATTGGCGACGAGGCTTCTAGATTGTTCTAGTTTTTCTGAAGGCATTACCTTGCCTGTAGCCACGCCGGCGACGCCACGAGTTTCTCGGGCCTCGCTCCACCACCTACGTTTCTGCCTGCGCCGGGCCGCCCAAGTGTTCCGTGGCCGCAATGGATTCGTATGTTTGAAACCTTTCTTCTGGCATCCGGAGCATCTGACTTCCCGCCCGAACGACGCAAGGCCCTCCTGTTACACAGCCTGGGAATTGAAGGTCAGCGTATTTTCTACGCTCTGCCATCCGACGTCTCCGAACCCGCCCCTCTGGCTGCCGCCGCGACAACTTCCTATGAGGCCAAAAAGTCTTCCACTGCCCCGTCATCGTACGACCAAGCCGTCGCTGCGTTTACGCAGCATTTTGCCTCGGCAAGCAATGTCGTCGTGGAACGCCATCGCTTCCGCCGCCGTATCCAGCAACCAGGCGAGCTCATACAAGAATACGTCGCTGCTTTACGAGAGCTTGCTGCTTCGTGTTCTTTCGTCGCCCTTGACGACTCCTTCCGCGACCAGTTCTTAGAAGGCATCGCGTCGCAACACCTTCGTGAACGTCTGCTTCTAGAAGGTTCATCGCTCTCCTTTTCGCGCGCCGTGCTTCTGGCACAACTGGAGCAGGCCGCTCAGCAAGTTCGCGAACTTGCTCCCAAGCACGTTCAGCAGGTAACTTCACGAGGCGTTCGGCATTCCAGGGACTCAACGCGGCCGCGCTCATCTCCCCGTCGGTTACCTCCCCCGCAAGCAAGCCCCTGTCGACAGTCGCGCCATGACTCAGCGACACCGCGTGCCTCTCGGTCAGCTGGGCCCTCACGCCGTAACCGCCAGTCCGCTTCCCCTGAGCGCTCTCGTTCCTCGAACAATGCGTCACCGCACTGTTTTTGTTGTGGTTCCCGCCAGCACCGCGCCTCGTCATCCTCTTGTCCAGCACAAGGTCAGCACTGTTTTCACTGCGGTCGCATAGGGCACTTCCGCTCAGTCTGTAACAAGCGACAGCGTCATTCCACCGTTGCCGTTCGTGAAGTCGACTGCCAGGACTCGTCCGATGATGCTGAGATTTTAAGCGTTCTTTCTGTCGTCGGTCCGGCTCGAGCCGGCATTTTCATTGACGTTTTCGTCGCCGGCAAGTCCTTCAAGTTTCTTTTCGACTCTGGGTCGTCTGTTTCTATCCTGGAAGAGAACCTTTTCCAGCAACATTTTGCTGACGAGTCACTTCTTTCCGCTCCGCGAGTGAAACTTCTCGATTACTCTAAGCGCTTCATTCTAGTCTGTGGCTGCTTCTTCACGGAAGTCACGTTCAAGGGACGCGCAACATACCTTCTGTTCCATGTTGTGCCAAAAGGCACATCCATCCTCGGAATTGATGCGATCAAGGCTTTGGACCTGCACATCGAAGGGTCGTCCCTGCATTGTTTCGAGACGTTGACCATGCCAATGACACTCGACGCGCCCCAGCTCTCCAGCCTGGGCCGAGCTTCTCAACCCAACCCTCTTCCGAAGACCCTGTCTAGCGAGTTCGGCTCCCTCTTTGCCCCAGGCCTTGGTCTCGCCAAGGGTTTCGTCCATTGGATCAAGATCCGACTCGCGGTGCCTCCCGTGGCATCGAAACTTCGGCGTCTCCCGCTGACACTCCGACCACAAGTTTCGGAAGAGATCCGTCGGTTGGAAGAACAGGATGTCCCCCATAGTCGTGGTAAGGAAGAAGGACGGTGGCATTCGACTCTGTGTTGACCTCCGGGAACCTAACAAAGCAGTCATCACCGACAGCTTCCCGCTTCCTCACACTGAAGAGCTCCTGAACAGCCTCGTCGGTGCCACTACCTTCTCCAAGCTCGATCTCGCATCCGCCTACCACCAGGTTCTGCTGCATCCCGAGAGCCAAGACTTGACCGCATTCGTGACCCACGACGGACTGTTCCGTTTCAAGCGGGTATGCTTTGGGCTGGCGTCCGCCCCCGCAGCCTTCCAGCAGTTGATGTCGCAGATTCTCAAAGATTGCTCCGGCGTTCTGTTTGACGATATCATTGTGTTCGGCAAGACCGAGCAAGAGCACCTAACAAACCTGGCCGCTGTTCTCCGCCGCATCAAGGCAGCTGGACTCAAACTCTATGACAAGTGCACCTTTTGCGTCCAAGAGTTGTCTTTCTTGGGCCACAAGGTCACTGCCCAAGGCATCTCACCGCTGCCAGAGAAAGTGGATTGTATCCTGAACACTCCCGCCCCCACAGACGCCGCTGGTCTGCGTTCGTTTCTCAGCCTAGTCGAGTACTACGCCAAGTTCTTTCGCTGCCTTGCTGGAGTTGTGGAACCAATGCGCGCACTGCTCCGCAAGAATCAACCCTTCATCTGGAGTGATGCCGTCGACGCCAGTTTTCGGAAGGTCAAGTTCTTGTTGTCGTCCAGTAAAGTACTTCAGATGTTTGATCCCACTCTTCTGGTGGTTGTCTCCACGGATGCTTCTGACTGCGGCCTTGGCGCCGTTCTTACACAAATGGATGGGCACCAGCTACGCACAGTCGCCTTCGCATCTCGCACTCTCTCTCCAGCAGAGAGAAAGTATTCAGTCGGTGAACGAGAAGCACTCGTGTGCGTCTAGGCATGCGAGCATTGGCACACATATCTATGGGGACGGCACTTCACACTTCGTACGGACCACCGGGCGTTGGTCTCTCTTCTGTCGTCTCAAGGCTCAAGACGACGGCCCCTTCGCATCGCACGCTGGTCAGAGCGTCTTCTGCGCTACAACTACTCTGTGGAATACCGCAAGGGTTCAAAGAATCAAGTCGCTGATGCATTGTCCCGCCTTCCAGTGTCTGTTTCGCATGAGGATGCTTCGTTCAACGAAGAGGTCGTGTCTTTTGTTGCGCCACTCTGCCTCACCAAGGAACAGTTCCAGCACTCCCTGCGTGAGGATGCTACTTTGAAACAAGTCAAGGCTTACGTGGCATCATCTTGGCCTTTCCACAAGTCCATCCCGGATACTCTTCAGCCATTCTTTGCCGTTTGGAAGAACTGTCTGTGGTCGACGACCTGCTTTTGCGTGGGGAACGGCTCGTAGTTCCTCCTTTCCTTACCTCACAGTTCATTTCCACCGTGCGCAAAGCCCACCCCGGGATAGTGCGCACCAAGGCGCGACTACGAGAGCGGTTTTGGTGGCCGGGCATGGACAAGCAAGTGGAAGCCGCCATGTATGTGGCGCTGTTGTTCCCATGTATATAATTGTGTCGTCTGATAAAGTTTGATATTCTTTCGTTGGGTCATGGCTGGTTTACTCTCTTCTTCTTCTCGGCCTGAAGGCCGAAACACCACAGGTATCTGTGAAGCAATAGAGATGTTTGCAGAAACACTAAACCAGATTGCTCATTTGTGTGACCCTATGTTATTAAGATAATGTAGAAACTAATTCATACACTGTGTTTTGTGTATGTGTGTTTTTTGTTCCAAGTCATTCTTTTACTTCATTTGTTATACTTGTACCAGCTCGCTGACTGGGTCATTCTCCCGGAAAGTTAACGTTTGTGTGACTGATGTATAACTTATAATTTTTTTTTACCTATCGTCATTTACGACTTATGTTAAAAGAACATGGGGCTGGAGAGCCCATATAAAAATATTTCAGGGAATTTCTAAACAATACTTTTTCGGAACCTATAAAGTTTGGAATGCCTCCTATGTGCAGTTACGACAATAAGGCTGTATCTATTAAGTATCAGAAAAGTTTCAAGGTCTTTCACTTTAGTTCTAGTAAACTAAACTTTTATCTGCCCGATTAAAAAAAACTTAGATTCATGTCGATATCGACTACGAAATAATTATAGTGTCAAGTGTTACTAAAGTAATTATAATTTTTCGAAGAGAACCAACAAATGACTGGTGACCGACCAAGATGTCAGTGGTGTCACGATGAAGGTATAAAACAGTTTTAAAAGTTCTGCCCAACTTTTTCAATATGCCAATTACACTTGCTTTTCATGCCTCCTTTACACAGTGTTGAAGCAAAGTGATATCCTCTTTTTTCAGAATTTTAAAATTTTATGGGCTTAAAAAAAATAGGAAATAATGCATACCTTTTTTTGTGTCACAAATAATGCATGTCCTCTTTTCTTTAATTTCTCTATGAAAACTAGGAGGATCAGCTATACTAATATACCTTCCTGCTGTGTTAAAGCCATTCAATTTGAACTAAGACTTTTGTTGCAAAACGCACATTTGCTTGAAATATGTTAGTCGTGTCACGGGTCAGTCATGTCACGAGTCAGTAACGTAACAAGATCAGACATGCCACAACTCATTTACGTCACGGGGTTGATAAGTATTGGGGCACCGATCGGTGTCGCGTGCTGCCGCTAGGTTTAACCGACATTGTTTTGTGTACGCTTAATGCTTTAATAGTAATTGACTTAAGCTTCAGACAAACCAGGTGGCGCTTATTTTCATTTCTCCTGGGAAAAAAGCAGCCCTCGCCCGAATACTTCTTAGCCTGACAATAAAAACTGACTGTATCAATTTCGTGCATACTATTGCAAATGTAATTAACCTACAAATTACAACTAGATGTGTCGCGACAAGTAAGAGAAAAAAAGAAAGGTGTAAGATAGTAAATACTCACCCTTACCGGGGGAACATTCTACAGTACCGTGAATAACAATAAAAATTTGGGAAGTCGGCCATATTTTTAGATAATGTTTAGAAATGATTATTTTAGTAGCAAACATAACATAAATAATTAAAATAAATGTCTCCAAGCTTTTTTATTAAACCCAAAGGTTAATTGTTGGGGAGAATGACTTAACCATTTATTTGTATATTTTGTTTTACAGGCAGCAAACTGGGGAATCTTGCGCCTGATCAAGTACTCTGTGTAAAGAATCGTAACGCGCATGGAAACAGGTGGAGTAACAAGACCGTACAAAAGGCTCTTCAGATACGGTTGGCATGTGGAACCAGAGGATATGAGCTCCTCAAGGACGAGGTAATACCTTTGCCGTCTGAAAGAACACTCCAGAGACGCATCGAAGAGGTCAAATTCGAGCCAGGTTTGTAGACCGTCGCTCCTCTCATGTAACCGCTCTCAGATTGATCATAGCATGCTAAGGTTGTCTATATGCCTTCCATTCCTGTTTTTAAGGAATTCTGGAGGAGCTTCTTCCAGCGCTCAAGTCCAAGCTGGAGACCATGCGGCCACAAGAAAAGCACTGTGCACTTCTGCTGGATGAGATGCAGGTCACTGCTGGGTTGGACTTTGATCCAACAGTGAAGAAGCCAATCGGTCTGGTGACCATACCACCTGCAAAACCTGGATGCTCAAGTGAACTGACATTTGCCACACACGGCCTAGTAATAATGCTAACTGGACTTTCCTCTCGCTGGAAGCAGGTGGTTGCCTACCACTTGACAGGCAAGCACATGCTTTTACAAATTCATGCTTAATTATACCACAATAAAATACCTCTTAGCCTTTAAATTAACGTATACAAACTTCTAAAGTTGAAATTATAAGTACTTTGTCGTTGGTCGAAGCACCGGTCGTCGAAAAGTTCATGCAATGTTTATCGAAGGATAAACATTGCATATTTTATAAATATTTTGGACAATGAGAACTCTAGTGTAAAATACCGAGCATGCACCTTTGTCACAATATGTGCCCTCCTGAGACTTCTAAGCTCACCGAAATGTCCCTCCACATCAGCCGCTTCTCCGAGTACACTGGGGCAAGGTGGTGAAGCTTGCCTGACATGCGGTTGTGACGTACGGGATGTGTGCTCTTTTTCTTCAGTGCGGTGTTGTGTGCGAGTAAAAACACTGGCTTTGTATATGGGGCGAGCAGAGAGAGCGAAGCAACCAGTTCGACGAGTGCCTCTCCTTATCCTCGGGGAGTTGGAGAGGGTCGCATTGAGCTCGGGCTTCGCTCTCTCTGCTCGCCACAAAGACAAGGCCAGAATTTGCTGTGCTGCCCGCACTGAAGCCAGGTCACGGCCGCATCCCCGAGGGCAATGAAGCATTGGCTTTTCTCAGTCAGGCATGTAGTCCCAATAATGCACTCGCGTAGAACACCATACTGAAGAAGTCAAGTATAAATCCTGTACGTCACACCATGAAGTCGACCCTACCTTGTGCTCCATCTGCATTCTTTGCTCTCGTACCTTAGATTATCTCAATACCCTGAGTAGGCACTTTCCATAGGTTGAATTTTCATGTCAAATATCTTCTGTAATATAGAAAGAATAAGCATTTAAGCCAAGGACAACACAGCCACATCTTTGAAAGATATGGTTTTGTTGTGGGAAAATAAGCGCCAAAAAAACACGGACAAAGAGTAGATTGACAACGACACAGGGCGCACTCTCAACTGAATTTATTAGGAAAAAAACACAAACTTATATACCAATGGGAGCACACTATCAGACACCACACGTAACGTTAGTCTCCGCCCAGACCACGTTTCAAATATTCAAACTCATTCGTAGACAGAGCCAATGATGTATCGCTAATGCATTTTTTACCCCTTCTCCTAATCTCAAATGCCTCGTGAAGCTCGCGTGACACTTTGTTTCTGTACCTCGCCAATATTTTAGTGCTGTCAAATGATGGGTCGCAAGTGCATCTTTTGCAATGTACAGCCAAATGCCCTGACGGTGTAGTTCTAGTTGAAGCGGCGTGCTCGCGGACCCGATCATTAATACACCTTCCAGTCTGCCCTACATAGCTTAAACCACACGTCATTGGTATATCATAAACGACGGCGGTTGCGCAATCAGTGTACTTATTCCTGTGCTTGGTATGGCACGGGTCAGTTATCGGTTGTGGATCATTAATTCTCCTGCATAATCGCGACATTTTGTTGGGCGCTAAAAATACGACCGGGACATCATAGCGCCCCGCCACCTTCTTAAGGTTATGGGAGACACCGTGCATATATGGTATCACCACAGGCCGTACGTGTTTTTTTGGCGCTTATTTTCCCACGATGTACCAACTGGCCCATCTAAGCATTTTATTGTGGTTTTGTTGTCTCTGTTTTAAATGTTTATTTTTTCTATATTCCTGACTCGAACCAACACGCTCCTCGTACATTAATTCAAAATATCTTGTTTACTCACAACCTTTAGGGGGGTTGTCTTTCGGGATTCGCTCACAGCCTTAGTTGCTTTGCGACAGAAAACCCCCATCTTTCTTTTATCTTTAGTAGACCTTTCACTGGCAGTGCTAAAGCTGCATTTTGTAGCTGGTAAGGAGCGGCGCAGATCACTTTTCAGAGCATATAAGGAGCATTTCGGCCTGCATTTAAGAGTAGTTTTAATTTTGCTTTGCAGCACCGCATTAGTGAATTGTTACAATAGAAAACTGACTTCAGAAGTTTGGGTAGTGGTTCGCAGTTGCAGTGCTAGTTTAAATCACAGTGCTAACCTAAAACAAAAGGTCACAAATGGTCATTTAAAGGACAAAGGATTCTTTACATACCTACATTTATTGCTTGTACAAGGTTTTCTTTTTTTCTTTTTAAAAATGCAGGACCCTTAGAGTCGTAATACAAAAAGGAACCCCAATCCACACTCAGAATAAAAAAAACTGGATTGCGAAAATAATTTAGAAATTGGGCTCCTCAAAATGTGGTTCTGAGCAGTGTAAGTGATTTTCAATTTGAAGAGCTAAGCTTAAAGTCTGGTTCAGATACTTGGGGTTTTACTGCGTTGCGGAGCCTTGCGTCAAGATGCGACCACGAGTCACAGAGACATGCGTGCTTCGCACGAAATAGGGCAACCAACTCTATCAAAGTAGCTTGTTACAGTGCGTTGAAAGTACCGATTTTGGTAACTCAGCCACAACCGAGCTCACCGCAGTTACTAGGCTGACCGCTCAAACTCAGCTGCTGCTTACAGGTTGCATGATGCGCATCACTCATATCCGATGCACGTGCAGCTCCAGTTCATGATATTTTTCAAACAAGATTATATTGTAGATGGCAGACCATAATAATTGAAGCGATTGCTTTTGTTGTAACAAGAACTAGCAGCATAAGCAAACGAATTTGAAGCACACCAAACAGCTGGCCTGGGCAAAGAACTTTCGGATAGGATTCTCGACATACCTGTCAAGCCAGGTGGTTGTGGGTATTAAACCCGACGCCCAACCAAGGAGTTTTCCGCACGCTTAGAGCTTGGAAGCGTAGAGCGCAGTCCACATGGTGCAGGGACATGACACCATCGAAGGCTACTTTAAGAAACTGCAACAACAGACACCCAACAAAAACCAGAAAGACAAAACGGCAACAGTCACTCTATACCAAAATAGCAAATCCAGCCAAGCCAGACATGCTCACCGTTGCCAACCGACAACCGTATTGTCAGTCGGTAGAAATTGAAACTAAAGGAAATGCATTTTTTGGCGCAGGGTTTAGTGTTTGGCGCACTATGGCACAAGTAAATGGTTGTGGCGCAGTTTGCACTCACTGGCACAGAATGGCACAGGCAAATGCTTCTGGCGCAGAATGGCCCAATCGGTGCAGCGGTTCCCACCCTGACTACTGTATGCTTATATACTTGCTTATGCTTGTATACTTATAATCCAAAAGCTGATTTGATTGGATATTTCAGTAAGTGCTCTGTATTAATGTCTTATCTAACTTTATCTTGCTCGCCAGGGGACTCCATTGACGGTGCATTCCTGAAGGACCTCGTCTTCTCGGTCATCAAGAAATGTGAAGATGCAGGCTGTTATGTGGACGCTGTGATTTCGGATATGGGGCCGAGCAACAAGGCACTGTGGAAGAAATGTGGCATTTCCGCCAAACGGTCAGCAACGCCTGTAGTCTCCTGCAACCACCCCTGCGCAGCCGACACCAACCGACAGCTGTACTTCCTGGCTGATGCACCCCATGTGCTAAAGAACATCAGGGGTCACCTGGTCAGGGGACAATCGATCTTCTTGCCAGATGACATCGTGGCCAAGTACGGCCTTCCAACCAGTGAAGTGAGCAGAAGAGTCAAATTCATACATTTTAAACAAGTACTATATACGCATGTTTGCAAAGTAATCTTTAGTGCGCTGTATCTGCTGAACCCTTTGCAGTAATTCATAAATCATTAGACTTCTAATCACCAATTACGTGCTGTCACAAAGTTTGCAATAAACTTTCTCCTACTTGAGGGCACGAAGATGAGCAAACTGAAGTGATGCTGGCTGTTTCTTAATTGCATAAAAACAGCCTGAGCTACAACCAGCTTTCGTAACTGTCTCATTACATTCACCAATGGCAAAAGCAACGTTAGTATAGTAAGGCAGGATCAAAAATTGCCATAAGAAAACGGGTTCTTCCGGTCAAATGCCGTATGTTTTGCCATGCAGACTGAAAAATAACACCCGAGCTATTAACTCCTTCGAATGTATGTATTGAGTGGGTGTACGTTCCAAGTTGTCAATTCCTTTCAGCAATAAATTAAGCATATTTATTTGAACTTTGGTACACCAGCAGTCCATCATTCATTAATTTTCTATTCTTTTTTGTCTTTGTTAGGTATCGGTGGTGCACATCAAGGCCCTTGCTGAAATCGATGCAGCACGAGACTTGAAGCTGGCGCCTCACCTGAAGCCGAGCTACCTGGATCCAAGCCACTTCGAAAAAATGAACGTGTCTTCAGCAGTGGCTGTCTTAAACCACAGTGTGGGAGCTGCCATCCGCGTACTTGTGTGCCTAGGACAACTTCCCTCGGAAGCCCTAACTACAGCTTGGTTTGTGGAACAGGTGTTCCGGTGGTTTTCCCTAATGACGTCACGAGGAATCAGTATGGCTATGAGCCTGTTCAAGCCGGGCTCGCACGACCAAGCAGTCGCTTTCCTTGAAGAGTTTGTTACCATCTTCTCCCGCCTTTCTATAAGGAAAAAAAAACCAGGGGCCGTGTTTCAAGCCTGTACAAGCTGGTGTGCTTGTATCCACATCAAGTGCCCTTTCTATCCAGTACCAGCTTCTAAGCATTCACAAGTTCAAGTTCGTCTTGCTGGGTCGGCTCACGCAAGACGCTCTAGAAAACCTTTTCTCGTGCGTTCGCTCAAGAAATCCGGTGCCTAGGGCCCTCGAATTCAAACTCACGCTGCGGCTGATTATGCTGAGTCAGTTTTTCAGACCAAGCCGCAAAGGGAGCTATGCAATTGACGACAGCGCCGACCTACTTGAATTTATTGAAATCAAGAAGTCTGCCTCAAAAAAGAACATTGGTGCAGGAGACGACTTCTTTTTTGAGGACAGCTTCCTAGAGGATGGAGTACCAGATATTGACGAGGTGAAGACAGAGTCTCTTGTGTATCTGTCGGGGTACATCACCCATAGCGTGTGTAAAAAATACAAGCTTTGTGACTTGTGCAAGGAGTTCCTTCAGACTGACCCAGTGGAGCAGAGTGATAGCCTTTTAAAATTGAAGTCCTACCGATCTCAG